AAATCGAAGTCATGTGCGACATCAAATATTTTGTTTTTTATCATTTATTTCCAAACTACGTCAGAAGCATCGCTTTCGACGATGACTCAGAATCCAGGTAGGCAAAAATTGAGATGTTAACGAAAGAGTAAGCTCAGTTTCCTTTTGGTGCCTCGTACATGCATTTAGCATTTTTATTTTCATTTACTAAACCCACAACTGAGTTCAGAGCGTACGTTAATACGTATCTCGAAGAAACCATTACAAATTTACGATATCCTGACCGAGTTAATTACTAATAATTCTATGTTTGTGTCTTCTGGTATACATTTAAGCATGTTCAGTCGGTGTGAATAAATAGTGGCTAGTTAAAAATACGGTATGTTTAAGTTCAAAATTCTTGTCGTGTCCGCGGTCACTTCGAAATTTCTCCTTCCGGCCACCGAGTAAAAATAATGCCCAAGTCCAAAATGTCATTGTTTACTCCATAGTTTTAAATTTAAACCATGCGTGTAGCTACTCGTTCAGCCGTAATCACTACAATTAAAATGTCCCGCTAACATTGTAAACTGTCAACATTACGTGCAGTCTAAGATCGGATTTATGTGGTAGACTGTGAAGTACGTAATTAGCCTGCATGTGTGTACACCGCCGTGGGAACAATGTAAAAATTCAAGAGAACGATCAAGTATATTTTTAAAAGTGTGTCAAGAAATGTTTATGCATATCATTTTAATAACGTAGAGTTCAGTTCTAGGAGCTACGTCTAATAACACTAATACTAAACATTGGATAAGTACTGTAAAATAAGGTAATGAGCCAAAATCATATGAGGTAACAACAGACAGAAAAACAACAGAAGGGGATAAACAGATGCTTAGCTGGACACGAAAGATGAGACAAATCCTGAAATACTTCAGAAACGCCACATCTTAAATATGGTTGAATTACGACACATAGAAAGAGTCGGAAAATATGAAGACATGGGATCGAGAATGATGTTAGGATGCTGTAACGATCAAGCCGGTACACGCTTTAATTTCCAAACTCGGGATGCAAAGAAAAAGCAAGAGTAAAGCAAGTAATCTTTGTACATCCACCCTTCACCAGACAGACCACCTGGTATATCCTGAAGCAGAGGTATGCATATTTCTATTCCGAGAACTCAAGACTCGCTGTAAATAAGACTGGATCCTTTCACGCCTCAGAGATTGGCATCTTCTTTTTCTGCTTCCCTGCCCATAGTTTAAGGGAGACGTGAGTCTTAACGTTTTTATGCAAGAACTTTCTGGAGCGTGTATAATGCTTGTGGTGAGATAATGAGAAGTTTGTGCTGTGATAAAACAACAAATTTCCTCCAACTTCCTTGAAGAGAGAGTAACGTGAATCCACAGAATGTGTCAGATGCCATCATCCAGTTAACCGGATTAACAACATATCATGCCTGCCCCCAAGAAAAACCTCGTAACTCAAATAATATCCCTATGCCATGTAGATCATAACTGAAGTGCTACAGACATGGCAAGTTCCGACATGCTTAAAACGCATTTCCAAGTATCGACAGCTTTCCTTCAGTTCAGAATGTGAAATGCGCGTTTATATTTTCCTCTGGTATCATCCCAATTCGCCCATATCTCTAATCTCTAGTGCGTACGTGCGTGTGCTTGGGAGGGGGGGGGTGTTATTCGAACGACGTAACACTTACCCAGCCGCTTGTTTCACTCCACGCCACAGTTGTTCAGTCGTCATGCAGCCGCGTGCATGGTGCTAATAATCGCACAGAAACTGGTTATAATTGTTGATCCACCACACACGTTCGTGTGAAATTTGAAGTCGTGGCGAATTTAAAATATGCTAGCAGTTGAATTAAACCAAATAACATTAACGATGATTTGAAACTTATGAAGTGGTATCAGCAGAATGAAACATTTTTGTTGTGTTCAACAGTGGAGAATGAATCTAGTCCTAACTGTCGTGGTCATTTTGCTCACTTGGTCTACGGCGAAAGGCACGCCAACTGATAATGGATATCAGATCAGTGATGACACAGGGCACCATAAACACCATCTAGGTAAGTGTCATAGCAACACTCTTCATTCGAGGGTCAATTGTCTTCTGGGATGTTGCGCCGTGTAGTCTGGTACAAGTTTACCGACTTTTAGAGGTGCTTGCTGCCTCTATCATCAGGGCGATGAATTCTATCAGAATACGCGGCCCAGTATCCCATAAGACAGTTATTTTATACTCGCTCAGTCAGAACCAAAAATCTCACCGAATTCATCAGAGACTGCAATAAAATATAAAGCTGTACGACATTCATTTGCTATAAGAAAAATTTGTTTGTGTGTGTAATGATAATATTTTGAGAATGATTGTAAAGATAAGCACCGGTATAAGGGTACAGCACTATCAGATGTAAAGGAGCATGATGGTAAAATTAGGAGAAAAATATATTCTGGAGATGCTGGTTATTAAATACTTCAAAGACAGCAATCTTCAGACTCGCCGCTGTGAAAACCTCAAATCCCACACAGTTCAAAGACAGTTCTCACATGTAAGACTTGAGGTTCTCACAGCACACTTTCGACTTTTTGTAAATATGAAAACCAGGATATAGAAAACAATTCTGTAGCTGCATTTTATAAATGTGAAATGTGATATCTTACTTTGAGGGGAAACAAACTGCACGTATTTGAAAGCAAACGACTGAGCAAAATATTTGTACCTAAGAAGGGCCAAGAGGGTAGTTTACGATATGACGAGGAACTCCGTGGTTACTCTCATACATGTCACCTAACAAAATATAGGAGGCAACGAGGGGGTACAGACGCGTAAAATAAAGAAGATGACAAATTCGTACAACATTTTTGTGGAGAAACCTCTTGAGTAACGTCTACTTGCAAGACCGAAAAGAAGACGGGTAGGATAACATTAAGATTGACGTTTTTGAGGCATTTAGTGAGGATGGGATGTGAATGGAAGTAGGACGGGATCGTGGTGTGATGTTACCGGCATTAAATCATTGCGTTCTGTTACTTAAGCGAACTATGTTCACGTGTTCCAGGAGAAGCAAAGCTGGCGTCACAGGGACGACACCGCTTAAGGATGCTATTCCCCCTTCTCCTTCGAATATCATCTCGCCTGGCTCAGATCGTACCTATGGCCCTTGCCGCTCTGGCGACTACATTCGCCATGGCAGTCTTGGCCAAGAAGGCCTTTATCATCAGCCTGGCTGCATTTGGACTCATGCTTTACGACACGTTTAAGAAGAAGGAACATCGCGTAGTTCATTACGTTGCCGAACCATCGCATGAAAACCGCATAATCGACAATTACTACTTCACAACCGAACCACAGAAATATACGACTCGTTAGATGACAGTTCCGATTTGAATAATACTACAGCAGTGGGAACATGTATGAGGACGATAGCAATAGCAATGTTCAAAATATTTCAGCAGCAGCCGAGTGGTACCAGAAACCACAACAGACAAATGGAAATATTCATTATGCACTACTATAGTGAATGTTAGTGTTGTTGTGGTTCAACAGTTCTGCGTCGAGACGGGCTCTGGGGCCCACCCAGCCTATCTAATGCGTACCTGGGTCTTTTCCCGGCGGGGCGTAGTGCTGACTACTCACCCTTATCTAGTGCAGAGGCCAAGAATGAGTAGAAGCTATACCAACTT